CAGTTGGGAGGGACAGCTGCTTACAGTCAAAACTTGATTTATAAATAATCGCCAAACCTCCTCCATGAACCAAGGACCTTGGGGTATTAAAATATGAGCAACCTTGGGGTAATAGTTCTGAAAAAACACTGGACTCACCCAGAGAAATCCAAGTCTCAGTCATGCAGAGAAAGTCCAAACCCTGGGACGAATAAAAATCCTTTAGGATAAAAGTTTTGTTTGTACCAGATCTTGCGTTTACCAGACCTATCCTGATGGGAACCGAGTCCAGCGAAGCAGAAGGTGTAATCCGTGCAAGGTGTCGCAGATTTCTGAGGATGGCAATGCGCCAGTGCAGATGTGGAGGAGTGAGACGTGGAGGAAAGAAACGTTGATCCGAGTCGACAACAGGTACCAGCCAGGAATCAACAGGGTCCAAGGAGCGCCGAGAAGCATAAAGTCCAGGGACTGATCCAAGCTGGGAGAGGAAGATTCTCAGCAATTTTGCCAAACCAGTCCTCAGCCTCACCAAGAGCCCGCCGCGTTTACCTTGACACCGGTGATGCCTTCACTGGCGAGGAGGGTGTGGTGCCCGACACAGGTAAGATGGAACTCCGGCCAACAGCGGGGGCAAAGAATCGTGCTTTTCATGACAGCGATATAAAACTTTTGCAGTAGGCAGACGAAGCCCCAAAAGGGTTTGGCAATCATACACCAGTAGAGAGTTCACATCAGAAAAACAGCACAGAAACAACAATAAAAACAGAGAGTGGTAGACGACTCGCCAAACACACTGGCGCCATCTTGCCACACCCCAGTTATCTCCAAAGGCTGCCTGTCTATGATTATTTATTATTTTTTTATTAACTTTTATTTAACCAGGCAAATCCCATTGAGTTCACAGATCTCTTTTGCAAGGGAGGCCTGGACCTGAAGGCAGTCTAACATGCATGTTTTTGGTCTGTGGGAGGAAACCGGAGTACCCAGAGAAAACCCATGCAAGCACGAGAAGAACATGCAAACTCCACACTGAAAGTTCCCAGGTCCAACCGGGGATTTAGCCCAGGACCTTCTTGCTGTGAGGCAACAGTTCTAACTACTGAGTCATTGTGGTACTTGCATCTGAGGGTCTGATTCAGGCTGGTTCTAATAAAGTCAAGGGGAGAGAAAGGCCCTGGTAAGTTTCTATCAAACTAATGCTGCCATTTCAAGAAGTTCGACAGGTCACAAGTGAGTCAGGATGAGGCATGAAGACATTCTCTACTTGTAATGTATGGACTCTGTAGTAGGGGTGCAGAAAAAAAATGATTTGTTAAAGAATCTAGATTTTTAGTCCTGGCGATTCTAAATCGATTCTAAAAGCCCCAAAATCAATTTTTAAATGTGTTTAAGTTGTATTCTTTTCCGCTCCTACTCCTGAGCATACTGCATATCGCATTACGTGTCCACCCGTCAACGTAGAATTTGGACTTGTAGGCCACTATACAGCAAGATAGAAACGATTCGTTTTTCATCTGAAAGACTTCTTCAGTCTGAGGAGCTGTATTCAGCTCAGTCTTTTGAATAGAACCTTCTCGGAGTGGATCAACTAGTTTGCTGCTGACAACCAAAAACAGCTGCTCACATGATCAAGAAGGACCATCAGCCTAACAATGGATCATTAGCACCCTGACGGCTGTTTGCTATTCACAGGGTGATACTAGCAATTTATGACCATTTCAATAAAAAAATCATTACTGAATCGAAAATCGTTTCTGAATGAAAAAAATCAATTTTGAAATGAATTGTGACACAACAAAATCGGAATCGAATTGAATCACTAGACACAGAGATTTGCACCCCTACTCTATGGGTCTCACTGTTCTCCAAAGCTTTGGAATAAATTTCATGAATTCTAAACCTAATCATCTGTGAATGACTTTTTTCCTATGAGAATTGATAAATTAATTATTTTTGTTTTTCTTTAGTTGGTTGATTGGTTGATGACTCACACCTCTGGGAGAGCTTTACCCGCATCCCAGCTGAGGTGGGGGACATTGAGTCAGAGTGAGCCATGTTCCGTGCCTCGCTTGTTGTAGTTGCCTTGAGCTGTGGCCACAAGGTTGTTGGTGCTTCTTGCGGTGGCCATCCACAAACTCGGTGGTGGACACCCTGGGTTAGGGAGACTGTCAAGCTGAATAAGTTGTAAATGGTAAATGGACTGTACTTATATAGCGCCTTTCTATCTTATTTCAAGATACTCAAAGCGCATTACACTATAATCTTTGTCCTCATTTACCCATTCATACTGTACTCTACTAGATCTCTACAAAGCTAATAGAACAAATCATTCTAATCAATCAACCTTTATTTATACAGGTAAATCCCATTGAGCCTCGAGGACTCATTTACAAGAGAGACCTGATTTCAACAAAGAAAGATGACAACAATGGACAACAGCAACAACAATAAGCAGTTATAAAAACTCATACTACAGTTTTTTTTGTTTTTTTTTACAAATAGGATGGCTAAAAGGAAAAAGGTAACAAAACAAAAAACAGCTAGATTCCAAGACAAATGTAGAAAACTAAAAACAGGAACATGTCTGCATTGGACCCTGCCAGGAGTCCAACAGATTCTTAAAGACACTTAGAGAGGTCAAGGTCGAGAGCTTCATTGGGAGATTCTAATGAGACTAATCAGAGCTTTATCACATTCATACACTGATGGGAAACACATCAGAGGCAACGAGGGGTTCAGTGACTTGCCCAGGGACACTTCAGCTTGTGACTGCTGGTGGATTCGAACCCCCAACTCTCACATTGGAGGATGACTGCTCTAAACACTCAGCCACAGCCCCCCCCAAATAAGGAGTCCTATTGGGCCTTGTTGGCCAGTGGGATTCCGTAGGCAGCTGAGGAGTACTGGAGGGCCAAGCGGTGTGCAGTCTTGGCAGTTGCTGAGGCAAAAGCTCGGATGTGAGAGGAGTTCGCCGAGACCTTGGATAGAGATTCGGTCGGCTCCGAGGAGATTCTGGCAAACCATCAGGTGGCTGAGGAGGGGAAAGCAGCACTTTACTAACACTGTGTTCAGTGAAGGTGGGGTGCTGTTGAACTCAACCAGTGATGTCGTCAGGAGGTGGAAGGAATACTTCTCGGCCCTTCTCAATCTCACTAGCACGTTTTCCATTGAGGAAGCCGAGTCGGGGGACTTTGGGGTTGATCCATCCATAACTGTGGCTGAGGTCACCATGGTAGTTAAAAAAGTCAGAGTCAGCAGGGCTCCGGGAGTGGATGAGATTCACCCTGATTTCCTTAAGGCTCTGGATGTTGTGAGGCTGTCTTGGCTGACACGCCTTTGCAATGTTGCGTGGACATCGAGGGCAGTGCCACTGGATTGGCAGACTGGGGTGGTGTTCCCCTCTTCAAAAAGGGGGACCGAAGGGTGTGCTCCAATTATAGGGGCATCACTCTCCTTAGCCTCCCTGTTAAGGTATATTCAGGGGTACTGGAGAAGCGAGTCCGATCGTTTGTTCCTCCTGGATCTGAGGTTCAACTATGTGGGTTCCGTCCTGGCCATGGAACACTGGATCAGCTCTTTACCCTCACTAGGGTCCTTGAGGGGTCATGGGAGTTTGCCCATCCAGTCTACATGTGTTTTGTGGACTTGGAGAAGGCATTTGACCATGTTCCTTGGGGTACACTGAGTGCTCCGTGAGTATGGGATTGGAGACCCGTTGTTACGGGCTGTTCAATCCCTATACAAGTGGTGCGAGTGTTTGGTTTGCATTACCGGCAGTAAGTCGGACACCTTCGGGGTGGGAGTTGGACTCCGCCAGGGCTGCCCGTTGTCACAGATTCTGTTCATAACTTTTATGGACAGAATTTCTCGGTGCGGCCAGCTGGCGGAGGGTTTCCGGATCGGTGGCCTCAGGATTCCATCTCTGCTCTTTGCAAATGATGTGGTTCTGTTGGCGTCATCATGCCATGATCTTCAGCTCTCACTGGAGTGGTTCGCAGCCGAGTATGTAGTGGCTGGGATGAGAATCAGCACCTCCAAATCTGAATCCATGGTCCTCAACCGAAAAAGTGTGGATTGCTCTCTTCAGGTCGAGGTTCTTCCTCAAGTGGAGGAATTCAAGTATCTCGGGATTTTGTTCGCGAGTGAGGGAAGAATGGAATGTGAGATTGACAGACGGATTGGTGCAGCATCTGCAGTATTGCAGACTCTGTACTGGTCCGTTGTGGTTAAAAGAGAGCTGAACTGTAAGGCAAAGCTCTCTGTTTACCAGTCCATCTACGTTCATACCCTCACCTATGGTCATGAGCCCTGGGTAGTGACCGAAAGAATGAGATCACAAATACATACGGTTGAAATGAGTTTTCTCCGCAGGGTAGCTGGTTTCTCTCTGAGAGCTAGGGTGAGAAGTTCAGTTATCCGGGAGAGACTCAGAGTAGAACCACTAGTCCTTCATGTCAAAAGGAGCCAGTTGAGGTGGTTCGGGCATCTGGTAAGGGTGCCCCCATGGCGCCTCCCAAGGGAGTTGCTTCAGGCATGTCCAACTGGGAGGAGACCCCGGGGAAGACCCAGGGTATGCTGGATAGATTATGCCTCTCGGTTGGCCTGGGAATGCCTTGGAATCCTCCCAGAAAAGCTGGAAGAGGTGGCTGTGGAAAAAGATGTCTGGGCCTCCCTGCTCAAGCTGCTGCCCCAGCGACCCGATTTCGGAATAAGCGGAACATAATGGATGGATGGTTGATTGAATAGTTGATTGGCTGGTTAGTTATTTTAGCCAATTTGTTGATTATTTGATTTATGAAAGCGAAGCTGAGTCAACAAAAGCAAATTTCTTGATATATCACCTTCATAAGTCTCTGAGCTGAGTGGTTTAACTGAACCAAGGAACCAGAACTCTTATTTCACCCTCACCATTAATGAAGGTGAAATATGAATGACTGATATCAATAATCAATCAAGTCTCCTCCACAGACCTGGATAGGATTCATACTAATGCTGAGAACAAAGATGAAAAAGTCACAAACCTGTGATGACATTGATGTCGGGGTAGAGGTCCTCTGAGAGACAGACACTGGAACTGTTCCTTTCAAACCAGTCTCTGAGCTCCTTCTTCACGGCAGCAGATCCACAGAGTCTGTACAGACCTACCACCTGACAGAGATCACCAACACCCACTTCAGTAATGTGTTGAGCTAAACAAGCTGTCAGGGTGACCATTTGTTTCTTCCCACCTTCAGCCCTCGCCGTTCTATTTCTGCCACACTTTTCTGGATCAACAGGGGAACCAAAGTGTCCGATCTTTCTTTCTTCACCAGTCGGTGCAGATCAACCCCAAACACATTTGAAGGTATTGCTGCATCCTCACCCTTCTGCCAAAACCAGGACATTCTAGTTGTAAGGACTCCTAGAAACTCTATGAGAAGCAGCACAGCTTCTAGTAACAAGATTTGATATAATATTTGGAGTTTTTGTTTACCTGTGTGTACCATTTTTCCTGCAGAGTCAGTTTGACATAAAGAAGTCCTCTGGGTTCCAGCTTCACACAGAGCTGCTGAGTCCGGCTCCCTGAGACAGAATCTACTTTGATGATTTCTTACATCACTTGTTTATCCGAATACTACCGCACATCAGTAACAAACCTTTAAAGAGTGGTGGGATGGAGACCTCACCCAGAGAGCACACTCGGTTTTTGTTTTGACCATCTGAAGGAGGACTCTGGTCATTCTCGGGTTTAGCTCCTCGAGCAGCTAATGGACAGCCTGCAGAAACAGAGAAGCACAAAGGGATCTCAACCAAAAATAAGCTTAATGGCACGGTAGGGGGTCTGACCAAAATTTTCTAGCCCAAGATTATTCAATAGACATCTTGAGGGGCAAATACGACCCTTTTAAAAATTTTGTTGGCCCCACAGAGCTACTGAATTTCCATACAGATTTGTCTGAATATATTATGCTACGACCAGTGGTGGACTGGCCATCGGGAGCACTTGCATCTACTCTGCAGACTTGAAGGCATGTCACTTCATAACTTTATGCACTATTATTGGGCGGTTAATATCAGATCTCTTCTATTCTGTCTGGGACCCCCATCCTTTTCTTAATACCTTCTTCTTTCCTCATGGTTTTCTTCCATTTTCTTATCTAAATGATAAGGGCAGTGCTTCAGAGCGAAGGTGCAGCCTCCGTGCACCTCTGTCTATCCTTGCTTTCTTTGGACGGCTGCACTGAAATGTATTTTGTTGTGCTTAACACATCCGCCTTCAACACCATGATCCCCCAAACCCCGATGGACAAACTATCCACACTAGCACTAAGCCCCACCATTTGCAACTGGGTACAAGACTTTTTAACATACAGACCACAGTTAGTGAGGATCCACAACTTCTCCTCCTCCACCATAACCCTCAGCACTGGCTCTCCTCAGGGATGTGTGTTGAGCCCCCTCCTGTTTACTCTGCTCACGTATGATTGTGCAGCTACCCATCCAGGCTGTCACATTGTAAAGTTTGCAGATGATACAGCGGTGGTGGGATGCATCACAAACAATGATGAGTCCAGCTACAGGCAAGAGGTGGAACACTTGGAGAGTTGGTGCAGAGAATAACCTTCACATCAGTGTGAAGAAGACAAAGGAGATGATTTTGGACTTCAGAAGGAACAAAAACATCTACACCCCCCTGAACATAAGAGGATCTGCGGTGGAAGTGGTCTCTAGCTACAAGTACTTGGGTGTACACATAAATGACAACCTCAGTGGAGCAACAACACCACCAGCCTGACCAAGAAAGCTCATCAGAGACTCTACTTCCTCAGACGGCTGAGGCGAGCTGGTCTGGGAAGCTCAGTCCTCACCTCCTTCTACAGGTGTGCAGTGGAGAACATCCTGTGCTCCAGCATCAACGTGTGGCATGGAGGCTGCACAGCTGCAGAAAGAAAAGCTTTGCAGAGAGTGGTGAAGGCTGCACAGAAGTCTGTCAGAATCAGCCTCCCCACCATCACAGACATCTACACCTCCAGATGCAGGAAGAGGGCCACCTGCATCATGAAGGACCCCACTCACCCAGCACACACACTTTTTGCCGCACTCTCCTCAGGAAGGAGGTTAAGGAGCATTAAGTGTAGAACCACTAGACTGAGGAACAGCTTCTACCCTGAGGCTGTTAGACTCATGAATCTCTAACTAGAATAATCACTGTGAAAAACCATATCATGTTGCTGCTGATCTGTTTCATGTTGCTGCTGATCTGTTTCAATGTTGATGTATTCATACGTGCACATCCGCTCACACAGACTCATGTTCATGTTTGTGCTGATGT